TGGCTTGTTACATAAGTAATTACGATCGTAATCATATCGTGTTTGGTGTCATTTTAATCAGAAAAACGAGACAAATACGATGGTAAAAGTTCCATTGACGAAAAACCAGAAATAAAGAATTTTAATTTTTAAATTTAAAAGACAGAACACGCACGAGTCTTTCATGTTTGCCGAACGCTCGAAACTCTATCCTTCTTTGTCTTTTGTATGGCTGTCTCTTTCTACGTTCGGCACACTACAAAGAATGTAGGACCTCTACCGTAAATGTTACAATCGAGACCGGCAAAAGTAACATTTACGGAGTGAATACTGTATTAGTAACAATAGTTTTTCGCTAATAACTCGAAAACTAAAGCTTCCCCTTAATTGCGGATAAGGAAAAAGTTGCTCAGAATCGTGCCCCTGATAACATATTAAAAGGACATTTAAATCGTCCAAAGTTGATTTCAAAACTTTTCAACAATTTTTCGCTAATATCTCGAAAACTAAAACTTTCCGCGAAATTTTTATATGAATAAAATTGTTCAGAATAATGTCCGTGATAAGATATTAAAAGCGCACTAAAATCGAGAAAAGTTTATTTCAAAAGTTGCCGGTTTTTTTGCAATAATAACACTTTGCAATTAAAAAATGAAAAATTTTTTGATAATGGTACCAATGGGGAGTCAGAACCTATCAGATGCAAAAGGTTCCGTTCCGATCGGTGCATCCAGCTAGGCGTAATCGGCGGGCACACATAGAAAATAATAAAAAAAAAAAAAAATATACTGATCGAATTGAGTAACCTCCTCCTTTTTCGAAGTCGGTTAAAAATGAAACTAAAGTTTGTTAAATCGCGATAATATCCTAAATACTACACCTATTTCATCACAATAACTTACATTACCCGCACACTGACAATGTCAAAAGTTTGCTTATTAATACTACACACACCGAACCGATCACGTCGGGGTCACCAATTGTGGGAATCGCATAAGGGTAAACACAATAATCAAGTCTATGTTGCGTTCCACACAAGTTTATTAAAATGTGTACGAGCAGTGAAAACGATGTAAGCTACAAGAATGACTCTGACGGACTGTGTCGTCGCTAGTTAAAACCTCTCCTCGAAAACTCACCAGTAAAAGAAGAAAGAAACAGTTTAGAAAGAGAGAAAATATAGAAAGTGGGAAAATCCAGAAAAACCGTTGCAAGTTCGGAAAAGGAGAGGTACAGCGGAAGAGAATCATAAAACAGAAAGCGAAGAGGTTCGCAAGGGTCTGAGCGTTGACACTGACCAGGCCTCGGCGAGACCCTATAGAAAGTGAAAACAATTAGAGAACGTAAAGCTAAAGAAGATAGAAAACAGGAAACAGAATTTTAGAAAACAGAAAGAATATAGAAAACAGAAAAGGCAATGGCGTATGTGGTGCCAAGGGCGCCACAACACTATATCACCATTGATATTTCGCACACACTCAAGCTTTTGTTTTAGGCTTCCGCCCAACATGCTTTTACCATGCGCCAGGTAAGCCCGTTTCTCTTTAGATAGGGACGAAAAAACATTCCTCCACCACTCAGACATACTCAACTGCTTTGGCAACAACCATTGAAGAGAGGACAGTGTGTCCGCTAGTGCCGTATTGTGGTGCTTCTGAACTAAGTCCCACCTCAGCCGCTGGTTGGCCTCTAGTTCTAAGAACGCAACCGCCGCTGTGCGTACGTCGACGTCATAGTCGGGCACAGGCTCGATTCCAGCCGGCACAATGTAACACCCTCTGTTCGTCCGGCCAGTCCGACCTTTTCGCTGCAAGCTAGTTGCCTTGCCCACCACGCGTCTAGTCAATTTATAAGTATACACCAGGTGTTTTCCATCAAACTCTAGCCGTGAATACGGCTTTATTTCTTCAAGAAAATTAACGACAGCCATACAGCCTGGCACAGTCACGGCTTGGCCGAGAACATCGGTACAAAAGCACCAGCAGTTATCTCACATTTTGTCAGGGTCGAAGGTCGTGCCACCGTGAATCGGAATATATTCACGTTCGCCCCCAATTTCCTTCTTTAGAAAAGCACATAAGTTTTCGCAATCATTGCGCGATGACAAAAAGAAAATTACTCTCCCCTCTTTGATAGGTTCATATGGGATGCGATACCCATATCCGAAGCCCTCGTGTCGTATGCCGATAACTCTGCTGGGTACTATAACATCGCTCCCAAGTTTCTCCCCTTTCTGTTTCAGTGGCGCTATCTTGATCTTGTCATTTATCGGGAAGCGTGTTCCACTAATCTCCAGCCCTTTTGCTAGCGGATATGCTGCGTCTCGCGTTAAGACAGTTGCCGTGAGATAGACACACTTGTATCGACTACCGGTCACCGTGAATTGTAAATCTCCTGCCACGACTGTCGGGTCCCCTCGACAGTGGATTTCATCAAGCAGCACATAGTCTGCTTCTGTATGTATTTCCGTCGCCCTGCGTATGGCAGTGCCGTAGGACATGATGGAGAGCT